AGGACACACAGTCATGTGGCTCTCCATGAGCAGCACCACTGAGCTAGATCATGTCTTTGTTGCTTTGGCATATGCAGTAAGTTGCAAGTCCTTGGCTTACAAAGCTTTTTACTCCTTGCCTGGGAAGAGAATGTTTAATAGCAACAATCAGGAGGGCAGAAGCCAAACATCCTGAAGCCTGGAACCAAGACGTGGTAAATTTTCAGTTTTAGTCTCAGCAGAAAACTTCTTGGAACAGGAAGACATCATCCAGCCATACCTTGGAGCTGCAGAGAGTAGATTCAAATCCAGTAGCACCTTAAGAGACCAGCCAGATTTTCAGGGTTTGAGCTTTCAAGAAAACTCATGCCCTGAACATCTTGTTGGTCTCTAAGGTGTTACTGGATTTGGCTCTAAGGTCTCTCAAGAGTATTCACAGCATGTACCTTTTGAACAGGTGGTTAAAGAGTGGCAGGCACAAGCCATGCAGAACGTAAGAGAAATTATAGAACCTTTCCCCCTTCTCTTCCCATATAGTGTTTGACATTCAGTAATATTAATGTTAATATTGTTGTAAACTGCCCTGAGCCCTGCTTGCAGGGAAGGGTGGCCTATTAAATCCAATTTAATAAATATTTCACTGCATTTTCAATATATTATAAGAAATTGGTAACAAACGATGGAAATACAATAAGTGAAAACAATGCTTTTCCTGGAAAATCTATAGCAGCAAAAATGAAATTACTGTATTTAAGATGAACATCAAGTCTAGCCCAGAATTTAGGATGTTTAGGCATCTTAAAAGTAAGCAGGACTTTGTATTTGTGGCTATTGAAGTTGCCAGTATTGCACAAGATTTAGTAAAATTAAGACCCTCCCCGAGGCTATCCAGCTTTCTGATTTACCAGCAGTCTTACCCCCCCCCCAGTACCACATTCAAGAAGCTCTCAAAATCACCTAGCAGCTGTTCCTTTTTCAAACATGCAGTCTATGGTTATGACTTATACATGAAGGCATTTTACAGTAAATATATGACTGTAATTAGTAGAGAGAGTACTTGGTTTTGGAGTTTTGGAATATGACAAGTACTGCATACCTTACCTGATAATACCCCTTCCTATTACAACAAGCCTGCTTGATCAGACCAGTGGTCCATCTGTTCCAGCATCCTGTCTCACACAGTGGCCAACCAGTCCCTCTGGAGGGCCAGCAACAGGGCATAGAGACCAAGACCTTTCCCTGATGTTGCCTCCTGGCTCTGGGATTCAGAGGTCTAGTGCCTCTGAATGTGGAGGTTCCTCTCAGTCACCATGGCTAGTAGCCACTGATAGACCTAGCCCCCATGAATTTATCTAATCTCCTTTTAAAGCTGTTTATTCCTATGGCCCTCACTATATCCTCACACAGCAGATTCCACATTTTAATCACTCTCTGTGTAAAGAAGCTACCAGTCTGAAGTATTATTAAAGCTAATATTGTCTTTATGTAATATATTTCTGTGCTGCTTTATTATCCTTCCAATAAAGTTTATAAAAAATTTAAAAGCCTCTCAAACTTCAAAACATCAAAATAACAAGTTTCCATTTTAATCAGAGCTTAACTATGTTATGTTTTTACTTTCCTCCAAAAGGGGACAAGATGCAGTCAAGGAGAGGGGAAGAGAGCATTCCAAAATACTGATGCAGCCAAAGCTTTCATAGTTAGAGCAGATGTACAGACTGAAATATTAGTCCTGAATCCCCAAACAATGGTGATTTGAGCAGGGTTTAAGTGTAGGAGGGATCCATACATGGAAAGGCACTTCCTAATGCTCAAGGACCCCGTGTATTTATTTAAAAAAAGGATGACCTCCCAGTTCTGCTGAGCCAAACACCACATGGTGGAAAGCCCTTTTACAAAACCATGTTCTCAAAACAATACAGCCACTCTCTTACCAGCTACAGTTTAAAACACTTTTCCTCTGTACATGATCTACAAGGTCAGGTCTCAGAGGGTAGCTGATTCTATAGAGCCATTCCCCAAGTCCTACTCAATCTCACACCTTGATGGGAAAGGACTTTGTGTCTGACAGCAAGAAACATTCTTATTCATTCGTAACTGTTAAATAGACCAGCTGAACAGGGGTAGGAAGGGGGCCTAGAAAACCTTTGAGTTACTTGTATAAATAAAAAAGCCCAGTGTCACACAAGCTTGAATTTTTGGTATTCAGTTGAAAACCACCATTGACTGTTACTGTCTTTTGATCCAGAAATCCTTTGCATTGGAAAGCACAATACTAGTTCAATTTTATGCTGGATGTGACAGGACTGCATTAGAAATATAATTCTTTGATGCCACTCAAGCAATTTAGAATTCCTAGGGCTCTACTACTGTATCTTAGAGACCAATCAGCACATTACCTGGCTAGCACTCTAAGGCAATCTGGAAGTTAGCAGACCACAGGCAACAACAGCTCCATGATCTCATGGCCTTCCCCTGAAATGGAGAGTCTCTGCCCCCTTTCCTATAAAACTGAGGTGGGAGCTCCTTTTTCACATTCGCTAGGTGGCATAATAAGAGGCCCCCCCCCCTTACAAAGTAAGTCTTAAGGTACTATTGGCCCAGACCATTTAGGACTTCCAGGATCAAAGCTACAACTCTAAAGTAGGCTTGGAAATAACAATAACCCATAAAGCTGTTACCAGGTAAGTATCGCATGCTCCCAGTCTCCCATCAAAACGGGAGTAGCGACAATTTGACCTAGTTTTATTTTATTTATTTTATTATTTATTTCTTTGATTTATACTCCGCCCTCCCAACGGCTCAGGGCGGCTTACATATGGCAAAGCCAGAGTAAAATACAATAAAACATATGATAAGCTACATATTTAAAACACAATAAAACCATCCTATTTACACGGTGCTGAGCCTATATTTAATCCTCCAAGATGGGAACAAAATTTGATGGCCAGCTCTCTCGGCAATGCGGTCTCCTGCTACACTGTTCTGCCAGGCCGGGCCAGTCCCCCTTTAACAGGGCTGCTGATGGCGCACTACCTCGTTGGTAGGATAGTGGCGGCGGCCGCTCCTACTCAAACGCCTGGCGGAAGAGCTCCATCTTACAGGCCCTGCGGAACTGCATAGTTGAAACTGCTAGATAATCTCTGTCAAGTTTAAGAGTTGTACCAGGGAGACCTCTCACCACCAGCATCCCCCCCCCCCCCAGTATTCAAAAAAGATTGCAACATATTCCTAATCAAGACAAGAGGTGGCATGCTCTAGTCTAACACAGCCCCTCACTGAAAAACTGCCTGCCCTTTTATAAGGTTCACATATAGGTATGCTCTGTTACTGGAGAAGCAACCTGCACACTCACAAACAGCACAACCCTAAACAGAGTTACACCCTTAGAAACACACTGACATCATTGGAGTTGGGGTATAACTCTGCATAAGAGTGTGCTGTTCGACTGCCTGAATAACTGGCCTCTACCTCAGGTAATGGAGAGAAGATGCTACATAACTTGCTACCAGGAGATGTAGACGTAGTAAAAGTTTGACTACTTCAGCTTCATTTTTTGAAAGCAACTGTAAGTGCTTGTTTTAGGGGGAGGAAATGTTCAAAAGTCAAAATGAAACTTGTGACCATTTCAAAAACCAGGCAGGTGGGGACAATGCTTGCAGTGGTGGTGCTTCTTTGGTTAAATCTCTGTTTCTCTTCAGGGCCTCTATAGATGCCTACAGTATATTCCTTAGTTTAAAATATTTCAGAAATTCTTTCATCTGGTAACTCATAACATGTAACCCCATGTGCTTCACAAGTTTGTTATACCTTCATAAGAAATATGTCAGAATTGCTTTAACAAATAAAATATGGAACAGAGAGCACCTAATTAACAGCAGAAATAGCAGGCAGAACTCTTAGCTTCAAAACCAGAATTCTAACTCTAAGAAGTAGGTCAGGCTGACCGATTATTATGACTGCTTTACGGCCACCTGATAAGCTTCACAGCTGAGCAGGAACTAAAAACTGTATCCATCTAACTGTTACACTCAGTATAGCACTGACTTCATGAGACTTAGACGGATTTCACTCTACTTAGGATGGCACTGCTAGTAACTCTCTTGTTCCATTTCACAGCATTCTTTTAAGAACGTATACACCTGAACTTATTGGTGGAACTTAATTTTTTTAATCAAGCCCACAATTGCTTAAATATCATATATACAGAGTAGCAGCGTATATTCTCTTTTCAAATGATCTGCTTGTGTTGCACTGACAGAAGTGTACTTCTCTGCTGTTCCCACCAATGTTGAAGATGCGGAACTTCTGTGCACAGCCCCCCCCCCCCAAGAAACCTCATCTAGCCCGTGCCTGACAGCAGTGGCTTTCATTCTTGCTTTGAAACCCCTTTGCAGTTTTGCAGGAACTGCTGATCCATCAAGCACAGCACTGTCTGCTGCCTGGAAGCTCTCCATAGTCACAGAGCTGAAAGTATTGGGGAATGAACATGTTCTCTTATATGAGCAAAGCAGATAAACTGCCTCTGATCTGTGGCCCACTTTCAGCATTCTATTCCCATGTGATGGCAGATTTTGGAGTACAGCTCAAGTGGTAAGGCACTATTGCAGGGAGAGCAGGTGATCATGCAGCTAGCATTTTTGGTAATCAAAGATACACAAACAGTTTTGAACAATTCAGTGAGAGAACTGGTCCATGTCTGATGAATTTATAAGAAATACACATGAAAATACATTCGAGGGAGAAGGAGAGCTGCGCTGCTAGTCTTGTGAAGTTAAAACCTTTGCCATCAGTTACCTGTGATACTTCTTCATGCACCATATATAGCTTCAGTGGATGTGTAGCTTCCAGAGAGCCAGCCTTACTGAATCTTACTATTTTCCTTATATACTCCTTGCTGGGAAAAGGTTCCAAATCCAAAGGCCACCACAACAGACAGACAAAAAAAACACGTGTCACTCCTAAAGGACTGCCATAAGGTCTACTTTTGAAATTGATGCAAAGGAGAAAACAATGTGTTTTGTTAAGCAGCCAACACACAATTTACTATTAAATCTTTTAATTTTTTTCACATTTGCCTTTTCTTTTAAGTCTCCTTTTCATAGGCAGTTATTTCTTATGAGACCAGACATGGCCAGAAACAGCTGGGTGATCTTATGCAGGACGGATCTGTACATCTACATTCACAAATTAAAAATAATTTAAAATTGCTACTGTACAAAGGAAATCATTTATTCACAGTTCAACCATTATTTACAGAGCACTCTCCTGAGAATACTTCTATTAAGCTTCAATTTGAGCAGTAACACAGAGTTGCTTAAGTAACAGCTGTTACTTAGCAGCAAATAATTCAGTCAAGAGAGAAGGGACAGTGAATTATTCTTAAGAGTCAAGTTTCCTGTTGAGGTTCTTGATGATCTGTAGAGGCTGCAATCGATGGCTGTGTTAATCCAGCAGGCAGTTCATTGCTGTTATCAGGTGGTGGTGGTGGAGGAGGTGGAAAAAATCCAGCCCTTGGAGGTAGATATTGAGGAAAAGGCCCCAACGGAAATGGAATTCTCACTGTTTAAAAAGAATGGTCAGAGTCCTCTTTAACCATTTTCTTTTTCTATTCAGAACAAAGGAGCTAATTTCTTAGAGACTGTATGGACATGCATGTTAACTGAAAACAGCAGCAATTTTAACCAGAAACCAAAAAGGGAAGACTAGAAAGGGAGGGAGGGCATGCATGCCATCATTTGTTTCTCAGTAAGACCACTCTAATGGTGCTACAAAAATATTGAGGGGGGTAGGGGAGGCAAAATAAACAGAGAATGCTTCAGCAATACCCATTTCCATTAATAGCTATGGATTTTGTCCTCTTAAGAGGCTGTTGCTAATTCTGCATTCACAAAGGAGAATGGCCAAGATGCCCTAGTATCACAGTAGCATCTGGAAGACCCAGGTACAAAGCCACACCCTGCTACGAAGCTGGCCTAACCTACCTCACAGGTTGGCTGTGAGGGTAACAGAGGAGGAGATAACAATGTATACCACCCTGAGCTCCTTAGAAGAGGATACAATGATATGAAAATAAATAAATGTAGCAAACTATTTAAAATTCCAGCCTCTAGCACTGAACTCAACTTTTTAACCCGTTAACTGTGAAAACACTTGGCCTGTTTTGCAAATGTGGTCTCTGCTTGAGAACAGAAACAAATTAACAGTCTTGTCGGATAAAATCCAGAATAATAGCAACTTGCTTTAAATTTAGGTATGAGTTTCATGACTATAAACCAGTATACAATGAAGCTCCACTAACATCTCTTCCACTGAAAATAGTTTAGTCATTTCCTTAAAAAATTTTCAAGTTACTCAGGCACCCATGACTAACTAAAGCCCCAATAAATTCTAAAGCCCCAATGATTTCAGCTGTACCTGCCATTTCCCAGATAATGTCTCAAGTTAACCTGCTATTCAAAATGAACATGTTCTAATGAAAGCATTTAATGATTTTGGTTAGAAAATATAATGTTAAGTGGAGTCAGTACTTACTAGGCAGTAGAGGACGTGGCAGATTGGCAAAATCTCTTGGGAAATATTCACGAGGTCCATACCCACCACTAGGAGGCACTGGTGGAAAGGGAGGGCCTCTTCTCATGAAAGGCCCCCGTGGATCCATTGGCATTAGAGGAGCTCTCAGTACAGGGAAAGGGTGAGGAGGCACAATTCCAGGACCAAAGGTTTCACCTTCAGGAGCAACAGGATGGTCTACCACATTGGGCATATTCTGTGGAACAATGGAAAGGAACACATTACATTTTGGTAGTAAGGTGTTTTTTCGAGACACTGTGCCACAGAGGTGGATAAAAGCAGAAGCCCAAACCAAACCAAGAAAAATGAACCTACATGAATGAACTGCTCCAGGATTCCAAGGCTGCATTCAGATGGCAGGAAAAAAAGATGATCAGGATCAATGCCCTCCATCCCCTCCTCCCTTGGTATGCTCAGCTGCAAAGACTTCCTGGTTCAGTTTGTTGAGATTTCTGAATTTCTGTGCCTTACACCCCTTAGGGTTTTCTTTCTCTCTCAGTAACTGGGGTTCTAAATCAGGCTGTGGTTTATAATCCAAGTTACTGAGAAAGAAACAAGCTCCTTCTTGTTAAGATGCACAAATTCAGAAGTCCAACATGGCATCTCTTATGTTCTTATGTTCTTAAGTCCCAACAAACCGAGCTTGGCTGCTATGTGAAACACGATGCTAGACTAGAAGGACCGCTGGTCTGCTCTAGCAGGCTCTTCTTTCTCCTAAACCAGAAAGTCTTCAATTGCAGCTCAGGATGTGTAGGAAGGAGTGAACAAGTTTGAGGCTCATTCTCCTCATGAACAAATTGAGATTTATTTATGGTATCTGAGTAGTGGCATGCTAATTAAAAACTGGTCCCATCAAAACGTGACACAATGTTATCCATGTGTGGAAAATATAGTCATTTTCCTGATGGCATTTTGCCTATGTATCCTTTCAGCAGTCTTGCTCTTTCATGTTTTAGAGTTATTCACCTATAATCACTGATAGGGTTCCAGCCTTCAGATGGGACCTGGAATTCTCCTGGAATTACAACTAATCTCCAGAATACAGAGATCAGTTTCCCCTGGAGAAAATAGGAACTTCAGAGGGTGAACTCTATGGCATACCATAAAGTCTAGGCGAAACTGAAGTCCCTCCTCAGACATCACCCCCAAATCTCCAGGAATTTCCCAAGCCAGATGAGTAAACCTAATCAAAGGTAATGTGTGTTCAGTATGTGGAGGTGTCCACAAGGTAACTGTTACAATACAATAAACAGCACTGTGGCAAAGGATAAAAATCTTTCCAGTTACTACTCACACTATCGCTGGAAATATCTTTTATTCCATTTCCACTCAAGTCCATTCTCGAGTTACTCTCAGATATGTGTCCATCTGGGCAAGAGAAAAAATATATAGTATTCATTTTAGCATTAAGCAACCTCTCAGGTACATTTCCTCCAGAGGGTATAGAGCCATGTAAGTCTGCCGCAGCCAAACTAGCCAAGTCTTGTGGCACTTTAAAGACCAAAACATTTGTTGTGGCAGAAGCTTGTAGGAGACAGAACTTGCCTCATCATATATTTCAACACCACTGTTTTAGCACATTAATTAATGAAGTTTGTGAGTATTGTTACCCAAAGTGGTTGTGAAGGTTTCCTGACTTTGTTGGGGAATTAGCCAGGACCTATGTCTATGGTGATTTTCCCCTCAGTAGAACTCTCGAAATGAACCAGGCTGTGATTAATGAAATGGTTTTTATTAAAGAGAATTAAAGAAAAAATTTCTTAATTGAAAAACACTATATGAACACACATACAATTTCAGAAAATAAAGGTGGTAGTTTACAGATACAAAGAAGGGAACTTATTCTATGGGACTATATTTACCTATCAAGGAGCAAAGATCCAAGAAGGAAGACAAGCAAAATGAACCAGCGTCTAACTCTAAGCAGGGAGCCCAACCTTTTCGGTGGGGGTGTAGGTTAGTGGATGTCCAGATACACACACAAATTACTGAACAACACATGTCTGGTTATACCCCTTGGACGTTAGGCAGAGGTCTTTTGCATCACTTACTACCCAATCCTTTAACTGGGAGGTGCCAGGGATTGATCTTGTGACCTTCTGCACATAAAGCAGATGCTCTAGCATTGGGCCACAGCCCCTCCCAAATATATCAACAGTTTGTATCATATCAAGGCTGTAATCCTATGCCCATGCAATATACAGTATGAAATGCAGAGGATGTATACCAACAAATGCAATAATGGACAAGTTTCTATTAGGTTTTTACTTAGGATGGCCAGGTAGGGGAAGGTCAGGCAAGGTAGGGAGTTGGTTAGATGTACTGTCCTTTTCTGAGAAAATCAATCTTTGACATTGATGGATTTAAAGAGGGAAGAGAACTGCCAAAAACCAGACCTTTGCACCTTTAGGATCAGTTTTCCAGACACGCCTCTGGTCCATATTCTATGGCACACGTTCCATGTGACTGAGGATCTATTTTGATCTCTTATTTGCAGACCAGGGATGAGTCTTGAATGAATGACCCTGTGAGATGCTAAGAGAGGGAAGGTTGCTTGTGTCACCTGTTTAGAGGTACTAAGCTCATCCTTCCAAGTGAGGAGGGGGTCGAGGCCTAACAGTATACATCAATGCTTCGGATTGTTTCAAATATAGTTTCTGTATTTGAACTGCTGTTTTATCACCAAGGCTAAACACATTTTAAGGCTACCATAAGCTGTTATAGATGGAAGTTCAAGAAATAATTTTATCCTTTGAAATAAGCAGTGTGCACACAACACAGTGTTATGTAATTGCTATACTGATTGCAGAGGATGATGAATGACTATATTGGCAAGGCTTGCGTCAAAGTCTGCATGAATGTTTCACCCATCTTTGAGATACAATGAAGGATTTTTTTTAGTATGAAATACATATTTTCTCAAAGTGCGTCCATAGGTGACACGGAGATAAATAAAGTTACTTACATTTAACAATAATGTTACTTATGTTAAGCAAAGCATGTTAGTCTAATTGAATTGTAAAAGGACACAAGAAGTTTCCTAAACTTTTAATACATCTCTTTTTTGTTTCATAATTATGGGTTACAGCTTGCACTACACACAGCAAAGTACATTCATTTCACAATATCCGTCATTATTGGCATTGTTTGGTACATTACTAGCAGAGAACAGAAAGTACTAAAACTTCTGAATGTCTGGATTTCTTTTCTAACTACTTTAAAGGATTAAGCAATTTCATAATAAATTCTTTCATGAAGGCACATAAAGGCAGCAATTCCTACCTGCTTTATCAAAAGAATGCATATTGTAACTTCTTAGCTCTGTTGGTCCTGAAAGCCTTCCAGAGTTTGGAGGGTTGGGATAAAATCTCTCTTGTCTTTGAGGGGGAAGAGATTGGTCATTATACGGCTGACCTACAATTCAATAAAATGTGCTTTATTTAGTGGATTAGTTCTAAACGTCCATTAGACCAGTAAACTATGCCTGCCAGCCTAATTTATCTGGTATTCTTTGTGTTATGAAATCCATAACATTAAGGCAATGAGGTATAAGCAGCACCTATTCTCATTAGTCAATGGAAATCTGACATTAAACTCCCACTTAGCAGAAATCTTCCACCACCCAAACAATAGGACGGAGTCCTGAAGCAGAGCTATTAGAATTTTTTAAATCTACCCACGGTCCTATTTTTATACATACCAAAAACAAACAAACCCTGAAACCCTTTATGTCTGGAGAGTCTAGTGCTGCAGCAATGTAAAGGAGATCATAGCAAGGTTCCATTTTAATTTGCAGCAGCAGTTTCAGAAATGTATATGTCACAATGAAGAATATGCCATATTGCCCTGACCTTGTCAGATCTCAGAAGCTAAGTAGGGCCGATCCTGGAAAGTACTTGGAAGGGCGACCTCCAAGGATTACTAGAGCTGGGATGCAGAGGCAGGTTATCAAGCCACCTCTCTGAAATGTCCTAGCCCCACTAGGGGCTGCCAAAAATCACCATGACTTCCAGGCTCACAAGCGCGCGCACACACAAACCTCACCAAAAAGTAGTAAAAAAAAGAGAATATGCCATATTTAGTTACCTGCCGGAAGAGTCATTATCCTGCGATCTCTGTCCCATGGAGGAGACAAAGAACCACTGTCTGAAGGTGGTCTGTGAGGATTAGATAACCTGTCAGAACTCAGCTCTTCTCTTTCATTACCCAGATCATATATGCCAGCATTCCCTGGTCCTCTTGATCCTAAATCAAGTAAGTTAAGCAATTAATTTATTGGCTGGAGATAATGAAGAGTTTTCATTGAGCCTGCAAGCACCCAAACCATGACCTGTCAACTTGTTTGCTAGTAGGGTCGCCAACCTCCAGGTGGTGGCTGGAGGTCTCCTGGGATTACAACTGATGTCCAGAGACAGCGATCAGGTCACCTAGGGAAAATGCCCACAGATCTTGCACAAGTGCCAGCAGTGGGAGATCACATACCCCATTAAAGTCCCTCCCCTCTCCAAGCCCTGTCCTCCTCAGGCTCCACCCCAAAAATCTTCAGGTATTCCCCAACACAGAGCTGGCAATACTATTGTAAGAAATGGGAAGGAAGAAACATGGCTCCAGAAGCCCCTTCCTTTGGTGATCTGCAGTACCACACTCTTT